ATTAGTTACTCCATTGTAGTATTTTGGTAAGGGCTGGAGTTTGTCTTCCATCTGTTGCAAGATGTTGCTTTTATTTGGATTTCCTGATGCTGTTTTGTCAAAAATTGCATGAATCATTTTCCATTTGTTTGCCTTTGTCTCATTTTTATTGTTCTTGTTCCTTTTCCTTCAATTATTAAAACGCTGCATTGAATGGAAGGTTAGGATTACACGGCGATTCACATTCACTCTGCCTTATTAAAACAAATAGACCCAGCAGTTCTATAATCTAAACGCTCTTGAGCTATGGATCACAGATGCTTTTATCAACATCGGGATGAAGAGGTTGTGTGCTTATGAGCTTTCTTGTACAGCTGTTAAATGAAAAATGGCACATGGCATTAGATGCCTGCAAAATATTCAGGGGAAACAAAATAGCTGCTATTTTGAATCACATTTCCTCCTGACAGGAAATGCCCCCCTTTAACTTAATGAATTAATTAGGAACGAAAGTGTGCAATCCAAGGATCCTGTGCTGCCCACCAACTCCTAGAACGAGTGGGGGCAGAAATGGGCAGATGCTCAAAGCTGGGCCTTTTCTTTGTACCGGTGGAGATTTTAAGGGGGAGAAAGGTGGCCTCAGGGCTCATGCTTCCTTAAGATGCCACATTACCCCTTAAGACCCCTAAGTCCACCTCCTGCAATGGGACCTAGCTCTACCCATTGTCAGAGTGTGCCCCTTGAGATGCCAAACAAAGTCCGATGGGACCCTTGAACCCAAGAGCTGGTTCATCCCTGAGTCCACAAAGAAGGTTGCTATATAACAAGCTAAGGAGTCTGTTACGAGATTATGGAAGGATATAAACATCATCAGTAGAACCAGACTTCTCTGCGGGGTTGTTTAGCTGGACATGGAATCATCCATGAACCTGCTTGTTGGACAACTTGCCCTCCTGCTTCTGGCCCTGCTGCCTGGGTGGTCGTAGCCTTGATTCAAAATTTCCATTCACATTTTTTGATGGTTCTCCTTGGGAATGAGATTCTGAATGTGTGTGCTTCTTTTTAGCCTGCTCTTCGTTACAATTGATCCTATAGAAGAATGCTATGAAGCAAACCAATAAAAGATACCACAGGAGTTTCAGCTGTGGAAAACTACTACACAAAATGGAAACTTTAAACACAACTATGATAACAATGACCAAAATGTACAAATAACACTGCATTCCATACAGATTCAGCCATTGATCTGGGTCAGCAAAGAGACTCAATCTTTAATTGAAGTTGGAAGCTAATGAGAGTGGCCACTAGCAACATCCACAGTGGAATCAAAAATCAGCTTGGAAATGTCTTGTAGGTTCATTAGCTCACCTGACATATGGACCTTAGTAGTTTGGCATATAAAAACATAATACAAGAGCTGATTCTTTAATTCCCCTCCCCCCAAAAAAAATCTATTAATGAAACTCAGAACTCAGTTCTGAAAATATGCAGTAAGTAGGTTATGGAGCACCGTTGATGTGCTGGAGAAATTTGAGACCTTTCAGTTGGATGAATATTCTTCTGTGAATATTCGGAGAAAAATATTAAGAAAAACATTTGTATTCAGAAATAAGGACAAAGATGTTATAGCTTTCTTTTGTAGTGATTTCTCACTAGAAGGAAACCCGCTGGGTGAAGAAGCAGGAATGACTCCGGCTGCAAATAACCTCCATGCTTTTTTTGTAGAAAACATCCGTTCTCCTCAGTGGTGTTCTGGAAGTGCACTTTGGAGTATGTGGAGTCATCCAATGACTTCGTATTATTCCATTAACACAATGGCATCAGAGCTGCGGGCTTATAAAATTAGACCGTCAGAGGAAAGATTCTAACCTTTCCCCATGTGTTATGGGCAGATAGCTATTTTGCATGGGAAACACCTGGTTCCCTGCAGGCCCTTTTACTTACTCCAGTGTTATAGGCCAGATGCGGTCTGCAATCAAAAAGTTATTTGGCACGTTAAGCAGTTATCTTTCCAGTAGCACATCAATTGCCCTTCTCTTAAGTCTCAAAAATAGTTACATTTAAGTCCCTTCACCAGTCTGGTGTGTGAATATTTAGTGGCTTTTATTCGTTTAATTTAATTTAATTCATTCGATTTAGACACCACCTGACTCCAACTGATTCTTTTCATTACTAACAGAAACTGTATGGAATTTGACGCCTCTGACTGAAATGGTTATATGTGATTTATACGTGAGTTTTGACACGGGATTTGCAGTATATTGGGTAAACGTATTTCAAGTTGATCCCAGTTATAAAAGCATCGCAATCAGAAGAAATGGCTAGAACTCTAACACTTCTATTTTAGATATCTATGAAATATTTCTTATATGAGGATAGCTTTTGTGCGTACCTATCAGTCTCCAAGACAAATGCCACATCCTGGTGACATTTCAAATTTGACTGACCAGGGATCCGCTGGACTTTAATGTGCTTATCCCACTTGAAAATGGGGACATCTGATTTATGCTTGTTTGTTAGTTTGGCATAACAATTCAAAAACAAAGCTTAAAAGATACATAAATTTAAACATGTGAATCATTAATGAAATCAGCACTGCACAGCTGTCCGGGTTTTCTTGAATCACTGCACAGGTTTCCTCTGTGTTCAATATGTCCCATTGTGGATGTTCCAGAAGAAATCCAACCTTTTTCTAAGCTTATCAGTTTGCAGAACACTGTCCAATGAATTCCCAGCAGATATTTTGGGATTCTTAGAGTTCAGGATTGGCTGTTTCAGTCTCAACATGTTTGTGCTCTTTTGATGGCCCTGAGTTCATTGAGTAGTCTAGTTTGGTCATTAAAAGGACATACGTTATCTTCTCATGATGTTTCTTCCAGGGCATATTTTTTAGTTCAGGCTTTTAATGTAATAGTGGATTTCATAATTTAGTCATCTCTTCTGTGTATGGTCTTGAGCAACTTTTTAAAAAGGGTACCACTGGTGTAAACAGTGGAGTCAGTCCACAGCTGAGTTGGATGCTAATCCATCTAGAGAACTACTCAGATTGGTTGGCTAAAAAATCAAATAGACATTGGTAACTGCACCAAGCCAAGGTGACATCAAAATGACAAACCATGCATTGTGTTTGTATCTAATAAATAAGCCAGACAAATAAGTTAGCCGCCAAGATGGCTTAGACCAGTGTTTCTCAACCTTGTCACCTTTAAGAAGTGTGGACTTCAACTCCCAGAATTCCTCCAGCCAGCATGCTGGGGGAATTCTGGGAGTTGAAGTCCATACATCTTAAAGGTATCAAGGTTGAGAAACACTGGCTTAGACTGTGGTGGGATAGAAATGGAATAAATCATGAACAACTAACATCTGTAAATTTCCCTGCTGATCAAGGCTCACTTTCCCTGGATAAGCCAGGGGTATCCACAGGGTATGGTCAAAAAAGTCAAGATGGTGTCCACAACAGTGCAATCGAAACTCCATGTAATTTTTATGTGTGGCATGGCATATTAGAACATTGTGACACACATAAAAATGAGTGGAGCTTTGATCACAACGTCATGGCCACCATGGTGACCTCTTTGGCCACCTCCTGTGAGCACCTCCAGAACAAGCCCTCCTGAAATGGCAGAGATGTTTTAGTCAATAGACTAAAATGCAAATGGCTTTTCTTTTTCACTTTAGAATGCAAACCATAATAAAAACAGCCTTGTGTTATGCTTCTGAATCAGGGTTAATTTCTGCTGGGATAGGGGCTATTAAAGAACAGGTTTGTAGATGAAGGTGTAAAAATATAACCTGGTTAACAAATGTTCAGTTTATCAGAGAGAAAGAAACACCGTAGTTCAGCCGTATGTAGTAAATATTCTGTCCCAAGCTTCTCGCCCCCTTTTAGAAATGCACATGACGGCTGTATTATAAGGAGAACTGGAGGAATTTTTCTTTGTTTATTGTGATGGTAGCTGCAGTGTTAAATTCTATTGCTGTAGTTTGAATTGTCTTTATTTTCAAACTAGTTTTACTGCCTTAGCATTTTTAATCATTTCTTTCAGAGTTCCTACTTTTATGCAATTAACAGAGGATTTTTGTACAGGTTTAAGAAAAACATGGAAACTGTAAAAGCATCAGACACCGAAGTCAAGTACAGGAAGAAATGATATTCACAATAAAGATAGCTAGTATATTTAAAATAATCTGACATCCAAGTAGCACAAGGAAGAATAATTCTACCAAAGATGAGGTTTTCCTGGGCAGTGAAAAATCTGCTTTTACTATCAAGTCCAAAGATTGTTATAAATATTTTCCAGGGGCAAATCTTTCCTTTCAGAGGAAAGTGGTGATGGTGAAGCAGCCGAGACTGTCGGGTGAAATGAGTCCTCTGGACCAAGGTTTTAGTTCAAAGGGATGGTGGAACTGGGCCGTGAAACAGCCTCCCTGGATGGCCCCTGTTGGGAGCAAGACCGGGTACCGTCCTCTTGATTCTCCATGGCCACTCCATGGCCTTTGATAGCACAGAGCAGACATTGGCATATGATCCCTTGAAGGATTTGGGGTGGGGGAAGCAGCCAGATGGACAAATGCTTTCCATCCCTGGTCTTCTTGATTCCACCCATATCTGCAGGATCAGTATTAGAACGCAGCTCAAGCCCTGAGAAAGATGGAGGGATGAGCTTCTGTCTTGACCTCACACCTCTAAGAAACAGCTGCATCAGGTCACCCAGACTGTAAGAGTGACTTCTCCTTTTCACTCCCTTGATGTTATTGCTAGTTGGCTTTAATATTACGGTGGTTTCACATTTTCACGTAGAACGCCCAGCCTACTGCATGCTGATTTTTTAAAAACAATATGCAATTATTTACACAGTATACAGTAGCATTCAAGCCAGGGAGGTTGAATTAACATAACTTGTTAATAGACAGGAAACATACCTCCCCTACAAGATGAAAATATAATCCGTAGGGAAGCTGTTATTGAAATGTTATTCTAAGAAAGAATTTTCCAACGTCTTTTTTCATGTGTATTTCAGATGGAAGACTTTATCTGAAAACGACTGTCATGTACTGAATTTGTCCGGTTGGAGCAACGTGTGTTACAGTTCAGAGAACTCTGCAGTAAGACATCCAGTGTTTCAGAGGTTCTGCAAAAACAAAAGATGCTTGCAGAAAACTTTATCACTTCACCTAGCCATGTGCGGAGATTTTAAGCTTTTGATGGGAGCATCCTCATTGCATCGCCCAGGCTCCATCCTGTGTTACAGAAGATGTTTCTACAATTTATGTAACTCTCTGGTAACAACCAGGGACCAGGAAATCTGTCCTGAGACACCAGAGCAAAACTGTATATTCCCATTTCAAAGGAATAAGAACCATGTTCTCTCCTGAATCTTTAGGCACATCAAGGAAATCTTCCACTTCTCATCCTAAGCACTGTTATGCCAAACCAGCAAGATGGTTTAAAAATGAATATTTCTAAAACGGGCATCAGAAGATTCCTAAAAACTGAAGCTAGGAGTACACAAATCACAATGTTATATATCTTCCCCCCCCCCCCAACACTACTCTTAAATGATTTTTTACCACCCCTCTCCCAAACCACCGAGCCACCCATT